CAGCTGAGAGATGTTACGACATTCGGTACCAAGGCTTGTAGATAAAAATTATATTGAAACTGCTCTAAACAAAATATTTGTAGTTTGAGGTGTGAGGACTAGATTGATATCATTAAAAGTGTTAAAAACCTTTTATCTGTACTTAAGATAATAAATCCTTTCGCGTTTCTTAATAAGGAACTAATTCCACTGAACAGAGTCCATCTTGATATTACATTAGTCTCCTAGCTGCCTAAGAAATAATAACAAATTTGTAAACTATCATATGCGTGCTACATGCCCGCCCACATCCTCCTCCATGATATGATTTTTCTAACAATATTTGTAAATTTGTTGAACGGTCTGATATTATCGACTTTGTACTGAGTTAACATTTCAGTCATAAGATGTCGATCAATCGGTGTTGTTGTAGGCTTACTAATAGCGTATAGCTTTACATTTGCGAAATTCCTGGCTTCAGTTTTAAATTGGAGATCAGTCACTACAACACAAATTATTATTCTACTGTATCCTTACAAACCCATTCAGAGAGCGATCTCAAAGTTTCTATCCCCACTGCATTATAACTCTCCACGATCCTTATAGTCCATTCAATTCTGCATAATTTCTGCAGTTATTACCTTACTAAGTAACACACGATAGCAACACGTACATGATGGATACTAGTCGAAATTCTCATCAAACTCCAACTGATTCCATAATATAATAGGGATCAGTTGATTCAATCGATCAGAAACATGAAACAAAAATATGCAGTAAATCACCGTCACAATGAAAGGACTGAGCTAGCTGAATGGCATGAAACCTTCTTGGACTGAATCTCTCAGTCCTTGATGATGTAAGCAAAGTGGAAATTCAGTCCACACTGACACGGAAAACGCCAGAGAAAACATTATTATATTCAGTCACCGTGAACGTTTCAAACATTATACATAAAATTTATACCTTTAGAATCTATTTCTTTGGGATCAGACCTAATACTATCCTCCGTTTATGTCTGCCATCTATATCTTCAATGTAATTTCTTTCTTTGAAGTTTTTCTTGACAAGGTTATTTTCGCATTTCTTATCTCCTCCATGTGCGCTGCAAGCACAGAATTCATTCTTCTCTATTTGATTCCCCTACCAACAAAATCTTAAGCTCCCACGTACTAAGCTTTCGCCACTGCCCTGTTACACCCTGTCTCTGAAGTTCAAATTTCCTTTCATCTTAGTACTTTATTCTATAAAATCCCCAATATTTGTTCTCCCTCAGAATAAAACGGGAATTGGAAAAAGGACACAATTTACCTTAAGTTTTCTCTTTCAGAAACATGAATGCCTCGTAAGAATTCATCCTAATTTCAGACTGTCACTTTTTCCCTGCGAAGTTGCTACTTTCGGTGGGTTCGCTTTTAATTTGTGTAAAACCGCTATGCTAAGTGGTCATTACAGCATAATAAAAACAAAAAGCTCACATTTAAGGGTGTATAAAGGGTTTGGCTGGCAGCATCATGACAAGGGCGGAACTAATTACTCCGGAAACTTTACATTAACCCGCGTCGTCTGAACTCCCCACCCGTCCAAAGTCGTCAGCATTGAGCCACTAGTAAGCCTATGATATAAAAAGTGTCTTATAATTTAATAACCAAAGAGAAGCTGTATATAACTTGTGGCTGAATTAAGTGAATTTAAGTGGAGCAGTTACTGTGTTCTTCGCGATTAATATTCTACCTAGAAAGTAAGTTTCGCGATAAATTACTTTCGCTGCGAAGTAAAAAAATCGAAACAAATATCTGTATAACAAAGCAAACATTTAAGTTCATATTAATCCAGATATGATTCTTTAAAATATTTTGCGCCATCGACATTTTATTTTATTTACTTTAGTATTTAGTTTATTTAAAGACACTTATTAACTTCATATGCTGTGTTGCATCGAATGAGACGATGGCTTAAGAATTATGTATAAGAAAGGTTTGTAACAAATTTTAAATATAATTGGAACGTTTGAATCAAGGATCTGGGGAAAACCACAAAATCATCAATAAGGTCCGATCTATCTGAAGGCTGGGAATCCAACCTAGACCTAGGGGTGCTAACCACCTAACCGGTGTCCTAATAATTTTGCACTAAAAAATCTTTGCGATGATTGGGTCTCACGCAAAATAATGAGTATTGTATGCCTTAATCTTGCGATAACAAATTTAGAGCTGAATAACAACCAATATTTTGGTGTTTATTGTTCTGTAAATTGCAGTGTAAATCCAATTTACATCCCTTATTTTTTCAGGCGTTTAAGTTTCGAAACACTTTTTGTTTGCCAGCCACATCAAAGAGGAAGAAAGAACTTATTATTTCTGTGAAAGCTAGAAAAGTTAAGTGGTTGTGAAATAAGGTTTTTTCAAATATTAAAGTATCTTACATGTGATTTGTTTACCTTTGCAGCCTCGCAGTATGTATCCAGGTAACATGTACCAGTACCAGCCGAAAGCATCTCCACCCGCCTCAGCATCTAGCAACTATCCGGTGCATCCAGATGTCAGATTTAAACACCTACCTTTTTTTGATTTGATGGGAGAACTGTTGAAACCATCAAGCCTTGGTAGGCAGAGTGTGTACACTATTTCTGAATTTAAAATTAAAATGAAACATTGCTGTAAGGGTCTCAGTCACTAGTAGAAACATGTTACATGAGCTCTTGCCTTTGTGGTATATTGTATTGGATGTATGGGGTCCTTACACTTCATATGTGTCAGTGTTCGCTGATGCTTGTACGAGGCTCGTCCACAAAGTAAGTTTCCCTTGGGCCGTTTACAGAAACAAAACACAATTTCATGGGAATATTTATTGCAACAGATACAGCAAGTGTCCAGCTATTTTTCAACATATTCGCCACCGGAATTGAGACATTTGTCATACCGTGGGACCAACTTTTAATACCTGTGTCGTAGAAGTCTGCCGCCTGGGATTGGAACCACTGTGTGACAGCCATCTCCGCCTCTCTGTCATTCTCAAAACGCTGACGCTGACGCTGACCGGACAGGAATTTCTTGAGGTGTAGGAAAAGATGGAAATCACTGGGAGCGAGGTCCGGGCTGTAGGGTGGATGATTAAACACCTCCCAGCTGAACTTCTGCAGGAGACTTGCTGTCCGTCGAGCCGTGTGCGGCCTAGCGTTATCACTGACCGCACTTCACAGTCGGCGGGGGCTGGAATAAGAACCTCCATCTTCAACAGCTGCAACGATGCTACTGTGAGAACGCGGGAAGTGCCGTTAGTGCATGCGCCATGCTACGTCATTGCTCTATCACGTACGCACAGTCGCTTCGCGCAATATAAGGTTTGCTAGCTGTGGGACGAGTGGGAAACTTACTTTGAGGACGCGCCTCGTATCTATTGCAACGTTACCACAGATACTGTGTCAGCATAGTTCAGTCAATGGCTGGCTTCATGACGGAAGAATCTAGTCTGGACCCCAGTTCCGATTCATGTCAGGCTTGCGAACGTCTGCCAGGCTTTGAGAACCACTGTTCCAAGTAGTGAAAGAAATTAATTAAATTAAATAAACTGTGCTTACATGAGAGACAAACGTGCCAAACAGTTTCCCGATTGAGGGGTCCGTCCACACTAACACACAGCAAAATGACGAGACAGCATATTAGGGGCGAGAATTCCTCTATTTAATTAAAATTTGGACCCCCTCCCCAAACAGACAGTCTGTACAAGGTCGCTGTCATTTTGTGGTGGCGTGACTGTAAAAGGGGGGTCATACACTGTGTCACCAATTGTTCTAGTCCAGGAAACCATGGAATCAAACTCTTCTGCCAAAGCTTCGCAAATCTGCTTCTAATTTCACACATAGAAAGTTTTACCAGTACCGTTTTCCACATAGCAGGATTCAGATGTCAGTTCCGATCGTAACCATGTTTCCTAATTTTTGTAATGGAGTTTTAAAAACTTACATTATTCTTGGTATATTAATTACACTCTTAACCAAAACAGATGGCGGTCTTGTGGGCTACCGCGGCGTGTAGAATTTTGGCTGTGTGCGAACATTTCGGAGGAACATACGTACAGCCTACAACAACAGACCTTAAGCAAACTGTAGACAAAGACAAAATTTTCCTCCGAAACGACGGTGACTACCTGCCTACACGGAGTTACAAACCAAATGACCGACACCGACAAACGCGTAAACATAATTTTATTGACAAACTTCTACAGAATAAAAATAGACCAATTTACAGAACAAATTTGAAAGTTTAATTAATTATTCTTGTCCGTCTATTCACAATTTAAAATTAAGATAATTAAAATATCATGTGATGTTCCTTATCGAAACATTCGATTTTCAGTTAGAACATCTATGGAAGTGAACATCACTATTAACTGATAAACAACTACAAAAAAGTTGCATATAAGAAATTACGATTAAGTTTTAAGTTTATATAATTTTAATTTTTATACACCTGAAGATGGTTCATTTAAGAACCGAAACATGTCGTAAGAAAAAGATGTTCTAACTGTAAATCGAATGTTTCGATAAGGAACATCACATGATATTTTAATTATCTTAATTTTAAATTTTAAATTGTGAATAGACGGACAAGAATAATTAATTAAATATATATCTTCACAATATGACGCAACTATACCAACTTATAAATTTGAAAGTGTAGAATAATACGAAAAGTAGCCAAATTTAATCTGCTATAATATTTATCGAAGACGACCGTCTTCTGGTTTGTTGCGCCATGTAATCTGGTAGAAGTTTACCGACGTTTCAGAGGTGCCTGCTGCCTGCATCATCAGGTCGATGAGTCCCTGATATTGGAGGCAGCAAGCACCTCCGAAACTTCGGTCAGTTTCTACCACACTGATAACCTGAAATTTTACATATTTTGTTCGTGGAGGTTATCTTACTGTCATTCCGAGAATTGTCGACTAAGAAGAAACAATTAACGACGTATTTGTATTACTATGCTAACACTTTTACTTTTATAACCTCATGTTGACAGGGTATTGAGTTGGACGCGCAGAATCTACTGCTGACTGACAGAGATACAGCGGAAGTCAACAACTACCACATCACATTGCTTAACGACAAACACGGACTCTTCAGCTCTGAGTGTAACAAGTGGTCAGTTGGCGGAATGGAGCCTCATACAGTTATTCACTGCAGTAAGTAATTCTTACAGAATCGATTTTCTCATATCATCATACACTTGTCAAATCTTTGTGTCTGTAATTTAGTGGCAAGTCAGAGATCATTTACTAACGAATCACCGCGTCAAACTTCCAGTTACTTGTAAGGATGAAACAAGTGAGATTTAAGGTTCTCACGATGACGAGTATGAAGATGGCTGTCCTCTAGATTATTACTCAGTGGCGTTTCATATGTACTTGCATCCTCCTGGTGATGGAAGCAGAGAGCAAAACGGCGTAACCCAGAAGACAGACATCTTCAACATAAGAACAGTTAAAACTTTGTTTCCGCTGCGGAGGTTAGGCCTGTATGGCGTCAAACCTGACGGTAAAATAACCATAAATGTTGTTTGGGTCGGGATATTAACAGGACAGATGTGGTCTGAGGGAACTGAAGTAAACCATGAAAATTTCAACCGGGAGACTTTGTCGCTCGGCAGAGGTTTGAAGCAAGTTCAAAGCAATATTGCTACCCCTGTTTTTCGGCAAGGTGATTATGAATCGTGGATTTGGAAACATAGGAAAAGATGCCCTCATCGTATATTTAAGGTGCGCGTATGTAATATCGTCTAGTTAACGTTTTATGATTTCCTTAGCAACGGTTCTACGTTCGTTCTTAGAGATTCCGCAATGTATGGATTATTTATATAAAACTGTCTGAATTTTCGCAGTGATCAATCAGACACGTCCACGGCCGGCGAAAGCGGCAGCTATAGTCTCCCACTGATTGTAATTCATCGGACACGGTCGTTGCAGCGTAAGTGGAGTTTTCTGCAGTACGTGTTCTTGCATTAGCCCGCTGTAAAAATTGCGTAACATAGAATATAATTCCAAAGGACTCAGATTTGTACGGGAACTTACGCTAACCGCATGACCGAAAGTGTCATAGCCGTCGGAGCATGTCATTTAAGACAATGATTTTTAAGACGTGACTTTGGAAATGTCAGTCCTACCGAAAAAAGTCGACAGAATCATAACGAAGGGCTCGGACGGTATGAATAGGGTTTTCGCCAACCTCTGAAATCATTTCCAAAAATACATTTAAGTATCAATAAAGCTTTAGGTTTACCCATTTCGAATGTTCACTCGCCTACCGACTATTGGGATTGACAGTATTCCGTGGTTTTCTCAGTCCCTCCAGGACAATACCTAATTAGTAACTTTTAACAGAGCCTATATTACAACCACCTCGTTCAAACTCTCTACCTTTTCTCCACTCGTGAACAACTTTTGAGCACATTCGACGCCATATAATCCCTGTAGATGAAAGTTGAGAATTAATCAAAAACTGATCGAGGAACTAAACTTTGTTAGGCATTACCTTTCCGGATTATATATTTCAACCAAAGACGGTGTGTGGGATTTCCGGTAAAAATAACGAATGAAATTTGTTTCGGCTCCAGTGAATCAGTGGAAAAAGTATCGGATGTGACAACCTACAGAGTACCGTTCACGTACGAAATGTAGTCTGGTTAATTGTAAACAATCTGTAAAAAGTCAAGTCCTGGACGACTGTTTGAATAGCAAGCCTTGACGTCTTCGAGACACCAACTTCAAAAACAAGCAGGCCTAAGCTTACAATAAACTCATTACCTCGTTTCCTGGTATCTTCTTACGGCAAGATATCAGCTCCTAATAACCCGTTGTCTTACTTTGCTACATAATTATTAACACAGGCGGATTACAGACTTGCACCCTCTCACTCCAGTTGCCTAGTGACGCGAAGATAATGAAGTAACCAACTCTGGGAACATATTTTGTGTACGAGCAATAAGACTTTCACTTGTCATATTCTTCTTTCCGTAATAATGACAATAAAATTATTCAGATTAATTTCTCTTCAAATTCAGTCGTTTGAATTTATTTACGTCTGTGTTACAATAAGCGTGTCTTATTTAGAAACCTAATGATTAAAATATAAGTCCACATTTGGGCTCAGAATAACCATACAATAATTATTTTAAATTCCACGGGGTTAGGAAAGCTCAAATCGTAACTTTTATCCTCAGGTTAGTTTAATAACTACAAGACATTGGTCGATAATTCTGTCCACCTGAATACTTTCTGATGAATAAAATATATAATGCAATCATTAGTGCGTTCTTGTTTATTTCTGCTTTCTCCAGAGGTGCGTGCCAACAGAACCACGCCGCTGCCCTGGTCGTCCTACCACATGGTTCTGAGGATCAACGACACATCTCTACGGCCAGGACACGGGACCAGCCACGTAAGTAACATCAGCTGTAAGCAAGAAGCGGCCGCCTTCTCGAATCATAATTAAAATATTTTCCCATAAAACAGAAGCTATTATAAATTTTATTAAAACCTGAAAATTATCCGTTAATGAATGTACTTCGCGTGTGAAATGATCACCAATTCCGTGTTTTAATACGACCGAACCTCAATATCCGACAAATAAATTCTACCTTACTACTAACCTAATGATATAATAACAGCTCCCAGCAGTAAAAAAATTAATTATGTATACGGAATCGTAACACAAGATGCTATTTATAGCATGGCTACGTTCTGGGAAAACCTTTAAAACAGGAAGAATAAATTTTCCTTCCAGAAAATCCCAAGTTATATTAAACGTAATTTATATTGAGATTAGTCCTCAGAATTGTGGGTGGGTCCAGAAAGAAGTAATTGGCTGAAAGGAAGGGGAAAAGAGGAAGTCAAAAGTAGATATCGCGCACGGGAAGAAAAGTGGATTGGTATTAGTTTCGTTTCGTTTTGTTCGCAGGATTTCAAGTTGTCAGTATAGATTAAGGTTTGCCTTCAATCTCCTTCAACAGGATTCTCGTTCTATTCTCGAGTTTCAACTGCGATGTTAACCTAACAAAAAAGCAGAATGTCCATTTCCACAACAGAGTGTTACCATTTATCGAATTCTCTAACTTGTTACTGTTATTGTCTCGCTTTAATTTATCACAGCTTCAATATCCATTTAAGTAATCTAATCACCTAGTTCCCTTGTATTTATCTTTGTAATAAACAGAGAGATCAGAAATTTTTATGTAATTCTTTTGGAAAGGCTAAATCCAAAAGTAGTTATTCTTGTGGGTAAGAAACCAGAGTTATCACGTTGAAGCAATAAAATAAGAATAGGAAATATAAAAATAATGTATATGGCACCAAGGAGGTTAGCGTATAAATATTCGGAAAGTGGTCCCACAGGATTCGAATCATAGACGCATTACCGCCTATCCTAAAGCACTTGGTGGTGTTTTTGTATCTTACCAAGGGAATTCTGGGAATAGGAGCCACCTTCAAATACGTCGGATAATTACCCTCACACCATTTATTAAATATTTCTATCTTCTTCGATCTATGTAATCTGTGCAGTATAATTAGCGTCATTAAATAATGTTAAAAATCTGTTACATGTCCTATTAAATTAAACTGGAGAAAGAATTAATACGTTTCTTTCAGAAGTGAGAAATGGTGCTACTCTACTGTAAATCAATAGTAAAACAATAAAGTCTTCTTCATGTTCAATATGGATAATTTTCAGGTATTTCATAACCCTGAAGCTTTTCCACGTTTTTAAAGCTCTCAATAGGAGACAATGTAATCTCAGCTTTTATTATTATTCTTGCGAAAAAATCGTACGTACACAATATATCACTCAGTTTTGGTTTTATACAAGTAATTTCCTAAATCCGTACACTTTTTTTTACCATTTCTCTAACAAAAACTTACAATGGAAAGGAAACTTAGATGGGCTGTCGCTATAGTACATTCGCTTCCAAAAACAAATTTTCCCAAACTATCACTACAGAATATTTCAAACGCAATATTATCTACAAATAAATTTACGAATGGCATCCAATTACATGTTCCGTCCCCATTAAATCTGTCCAATCCAACATTCTCTTTTTCTAGCAATATAGGATAATGTTCTTTTTCGTCCTTTCAAGAAGTCCAAATCATTTTTCTCCGGTCTGAAATTCTATACCAGCTTCACTCCTTCGATCGTGGGCTTGAACTCCTGCTACTGACTTCACCATTCTGATTTTTCAGCAGATACAATCCTATCCCTTCGTCTCCTCCCATGAAGGTTCTCATCCAGACTGTACAGACCCAGAACTTGCATCGATAAAAATGACGAAGAACATCACTGTTTCTGTTCAAGCCCTGGCAATTCTAAGAACGAGCATCTCCGTTTCACAAGCATCACTATACCACTTTTATTCTCGGCATGGATACAGAATGTGACAATTTATGAAAGAAGAGTCTCGCCTCAAAGGATCAGAAATATCGCGGTCCAGGGAAATCTGCGAGAGACCATCCTCCTTCATTCAGACATCCAGAACATTCGTCCTAGCATCTTGGTCTAGATAAATTTTGGGGCACGCGCAGATGTGAACTTTGCTTTGCTCAGCTAATGGCTAATAAATTTTTGTAACGAGAAAAGTTTTCAGGATTGCACTCAGCATGAAGTCACGGCCTCAAATTCGAGATAATTCTTCTCTCAGTCGGCGTTATCATCATCGTCGCAAATTTTGCAGTTGCGCGTGTGTGTGAGTTACCTCCTTTCTTTTACAGGCAATATTAGACCATCTTGCCATTAATCTAGAACAGGGGTGGCCAACCCAAATGATCTTTCGGGCCACTTTGGAAATGCATCATAACTCCGCGGGCCACATATAAAATTATATATCCCCATATTAGATTTAGATACACTATAGACATTTTTTTGGAGTGAAAAATTGAAACATAATGAGTTATTATTATTGTGTTTACTATTATTCTTACATGTAAACATAGATAATATAATAATAATGATAATCATTATAAAATAAATATATTTTGTAAAAGTGTGATGAATCTCGCGGGCCGGAAAAATGTTCAAGGCGGGCCACATGCGGCCCGCGGGCCGCGGGTTGGTCACCCCTGATCTAGAACAATGGAGTTTAACGTCTATCTAGCATTGTATTTTAATGCATGGTTTATGAACAGTCTACAGTGAGTAAAGTCATAAACATTTCACTACAACGTCAACATATACACCCTAGTCTATCAAGTGTCGTTTTATGAGCTCAGTGACAGAGACCACGCACTTAGCCGCCTTTACCTCTAAAACACTAATCCGGTAACCGCCTTAATATAACAGTGTCACTAATCAAAATCAAAATCTACGCTGCTACGCCAATAAATAATATTTACGATTTAAAAATTATTTACAGTGAAACACAAACAGTTCTTAAAATCAATACACGTTTACTACAGAGACATAAATTGTCCACTTGTATAAAAAAACAGGGTTTTTTTCGAGTAGCCGTCTCTTAGTCCATTAACTCCAATTTAAAGTTCGCGGATGTCAAGAGCAGATGTTATAATCAGGAAATCAATCGGCTACAATCCCAAACCCCTCCCTGAAGCTAAAACCACTTTCAGCCCCAAACCCCATTCTATAAAAAGCCAGTTGTGGTAATTACCCTGCAATTACACCACAACACTACAGTGATGAAAACCATGGTTTTACCACATACACATTCAACCGTCTACCGTCTAATTAATCTGACGCGGAAGCCACAGACTGACAAACTTCCTGGTTTATTGGTTTCGTGTAGGAAGGTGTAATACTTCTGAGTCTCGAACGTTGGTACACATGAGAGACATACACTCAACTTCATTTGAGCCGCCTTATAAGATTTAAGGGCATAATTTATAAACCTCATCTACGCACTGTTACTTTATAAGATAATTTATTCACGCTATGTGAACGTCTGCTGTTATACATTATCAATTACGGCTATCGAAAAATTTATTAAAAATGGCTAAAGGTGGACGGGAGCAACCGTGGCTTATTTAAAAGCACTCTCCCGTAATTCGGCTTCGGATTTTCAGACAATAACGAAAAATCTCCAACAGGATAACTGGAAACAATAAATGCACACGTTTAAATTACCACTACATCCACGTATATGTACCACATTTCCGACGGTTTGATAATCTCTGTAACGTTTTCAGCTCTCTACACCAGACGCCGTTATCACAGAAACAATAAAACCCACAAAACAGTTGCCAGAAGCACCATTATATTACAACGCAAAACCAAGTTTTGGTAGAAATGACGTGAGAAACATTTTATATCTGTTGCTTGCACCATTAACGTTCAATAAAGATTTAAATCACATAGAAATTAATCTCTAAACCAATCGTCATAAAACTAATTCAAACACTTCGTAATAAAAATTGAATTCCATATGAGTTTAATCAGTTATCACGTGTAAGTAGATGAATGTGTTAACAAAATTGCACTGAATCTCACCTTCAGTTTTTTCATTACACATATTACAATTTCAAAGCAACGCTGAAAAGTGAAGGGGGGCAGAAAGTCGAAAATTTACTTGAAGATGGCTCTCTGCCCTGGTAATGGAGGCAGCAAGCACCCCTGAAACGTCGGTCAATTTATATCAGACTTTATTATGCAACAACCCAGGACAACGTGTTCTATTCATGAGCTTTGATGACAGTCGGTATTTTCTGTGTTATTCGTTACGCATCTCTAAAAGCTTCACGAACAGCAGCAAACGATTTCGAAACGAAGTTTTATTCGAGAATTAACAAATGTTCTGCTCATCAATAAACCGTGCTTGCAACTGCACAGCTTCTGCGCAACTGGAGTGAGCAGCGGCCTAGCAATCAGTGTGGCTTTAACTCGAAGGAAGTTAGGATGGTCTAGCAGGGGGGGGGGGGGGGGGGGGGACCTGCTTATGATTTCACTTTCTGTCGAAGTTCCAGGTTAAATTTTAAAATAGTACATCCTATGCAATAGATTTAGTTCTCAGTGAAACTGTGCAAACAGAAATAAAAACACCTACGTGTTAGGGGCTTGTACCGACGCAATAAACAAAGTGGATTAATTGTTTAATCGAATACTTGTCTAGCAATTTGTAAGCTCGGTTCAGTTTACTTCTGAACATGTACCATTTGTAACAGTGTAATGACGAAAGCGTCTAATTTGTTTACATGTTCTTGAACGGCCCTGAGACTAGAAATTCGTTTAGTAACTCAGATTCGCACAAAGAATTAAACTAGCAAAAACAAGTGACGAAAATAACACACGCAGAAAGTAAGTAGGTTGCTGCAACGAGAGGCGTCCGGTTCGACTCACGGCTGCATTACCCTCACCTAGATTTTTCTTGCCTTTCCTCAGTCTCTCCTGCGGAATGATAATACACTGCCTCTAAACAGGCCTCAATCGCATTCTTCCATATCCTAACCCAATAAAATATCATTGCTATATATAAACTCTGTAGCAGATTCCACGTCGTTAAAATTCCCAAAACATTAAAGATACGCAAATAACTACAGAAAATAAAAATTAATTAAAGTGCACACATTAACAATCCATTTAAAAATCTAATTTTATAAAAATAATTTTAATATCGGCTAACCAAAAGAAAAGTAATTAGTAACATACAACTTTCGTCCCTAAGTAAGATTTCGGGTTCTCGCGGAGGCGGTGGGACTGGCAGTGGCGGCTAGTATGAAGATGGCTCTTTTTGGGGTTATAACGCCGAGTAGTCTGGTAAACGTTTACCAGGGTTTCAGATGTACTTTCTGCCTCCATCATCAAGGCGATTATCGTCCTGATGATTAAGGCAGCAAACACCTATGAAATCTCAGTGAACTTACACTCGGCATTACAACCCAGAACATTTTCGCCCCTTTTTAAGTAATAACAAATAATACCTTTTGTATTCTATGATACATAGACCCACTGCCCTTTAAATACTTCCGTCGCCTTAAAGAGACGGTAAGTAAGGATTTATTTACATACGCACAGGCACAAAGAACACGTGCCGACAGGATCTCATGCAGCAAAATTCAGGCTTCGCTACTGAATCGTCCAACCCTTGAAATCGCGTACACCAAGGTCTTAAATCTACATAAAATGTCTCTTAAAAGTTGTTGGGGAAAACTATTCTTAGAGTACTCAAAATGAAACTGTCACATCATCTAAATAAATAAATACATACATAAATAAATAAAACCCTCTTGGGTAATCAGCAACTTTGTTGTACAGTGAAACTCCATCACTGTTTCCATTCCCAGGGATAAGGCTTTTATAATGTTTACGTAAACTACGTCCACGTATGCAAATGGTAAGTTTAAGAAGTTAGGAGGATCCTTGTACACAGAGCAGAGAAGCTGTAATACCACAGCGTAATGTTCTCCTGTAATAGGAGTACACGCAAACACGAATTAGTTCTGAACACATTTATTCAATTTGTTACAAACAAAGAGAAACCTGAATACCTCGTTGAGCGCTCACTAAATCGAGGAGAAAATTACAAAATAATATAATATGGATATAATAAACCATTTAGCTAATTTTCCGCATTTTATAAGGGCAGACAAGCTTTATTTAAATACCATGCACCACGGGGCGTGATACATTTGTTCTTTTTATGTCCTGTCATCAGTAATAAAAAATATGGCGGCCTTGCGAATTTGTAAGTTGTAAACATATTAGGCTGTGTACACAGAAAACGTTAAAAGTATTATTTTGACCTCAGTAAAACACAGACCGATGGTGCATCTGATGAAAAGGTATCTGTATTAATTACCTTACCTATAAACGTCAGTTTATATACAAGAGGCTTATCTAAGCATGCGATCAGAAGAGTCATAACCACATTTGCATGTAGGCCTCATTATTACGCAATAACCTCACATATTTGATCCTTTATTTTGTAGTTAAACTTAATGTTATAATCACAAATAGATAACATTAATACATCGTGTTGGAAAATGGAAATATTCTTAGCGAAAACAGTGCTTAATGATGATAATTATTTATGCAGGAACCTCGCTAAAAATGACAGACAACAAAGTTCACACGCTGCATTACAGCAAAAGGCTGTTTCGTACGTTTACTGACACAATAATAATTTTGAAAGTTACGTCAACGACTGTATTAGAAAATTAAAACATTCTCAGTGAAAATGTCGGCTGTTGATGTTAACCAAATATTCCGAAGTCTCGCTAAATTAATCGGAAATAATTAAAGATGGCTGTCTTCTGGATTGTAGCGCCGTGTAATGTGACAGAAGGAAAACACGACGCAACCCAGACGACAGCCATCTTCGGACCCACAGCCGTGGAAACCTCAAATGCTACACTAATATCTGCAATGAATTCTGCTGCAGGTGGATCTGTACCTGAACATTACCAGCAACGAGAGTCAGATAGCGTCCCTGAGCCAGAAGGCTTCGTGGACCCGAGACACGGCAATGCAGTACCCGAGGCACGTGTCAATCTTCCGAGGGGCATCTCCCTACGCGCGCCTTGCGCAACCCGACGCCATGCATGATCTAGTCCTTTCGCGTCCTGCACCTAGTTACAGCATCGAGACCCCTACAGAAGCCTTCAATGTGACCAAATTCGGAGGAATTGTCTACGTATCTAACGCCAACGCCTTGCTTGAAGCCCCAAGTACCCTCAAGTGAGTGTCATCTTGCCCAACAGCATCTTGATCTCCGCCTCAGCGTTCCAATACATTTAACACAAAATCATCCATACGTAGTACCCGATTACGACCGGATAGATCAACGAAAATGAGCGATCCGCTTGGGTATGGGTAACATAACGTTAGATGATAAAGTTGCGTCATATTGTGATAAATATATATTTGTTTAAATCTTGTCAGTCTAATCACAATAAAATTCCTATTAAATATTAAAATATTACCATAATTAACATTTAAATATTTAAAAATATATATTAAATGATATTCTCTATCGAAATGTTCGATTTACATTAGAATATCACTTTTTACACGACATGTTTCAGTTCTAAATGAACCATCTTCAGGTGTATAAAATTATACAAACTTAAATATAATTTCTTAAATGCAACTTTTTATAAATTATATTTAAATTATATTTAAGTTTATATAATTTTATACACCTGAAGATGGTTCATTTAGAACTGAAACATGTCGTGTAAAAAGTGATATTCTAATGTAAATCGAACATTTCGATAGAGAATATCATTTAATATATATTTTTAAATATTTAAATGTTAATTATAGTAATATTTTATTATTTAATAGGAATTTTATTGTGATTAGACTGACAAGATTTAAACAAAAACATAACGTTAATAAAAAGGTTTACAACTCACGGTACTATTGCTTACAAATGTGGAAACTGTACTTCTTGGGGGGGGGGGTCATCCCCCCTCCACTTTCCCGGCGAATATAGTACAGTTCGTGACGTGAGGTTAAATTTCCTACAAATCGCCGCGTATACTGAAAACGCGTAAAACGGGAAACGTATAATAAAGGGAATTTTGTTTTTAAACTGGCTTTAAAATCCTCTGGTCATCTGCATCACATTCCCTGCCACGCCTGGAATTTTTTGAACTCATGCTTTAAAATTAAACCGCGTAAAGGACATTGATGCTGCTCATCAAACTGAAATAAAACGGCGGATAGCGAACGAACAATTACCAAGAATCACCTGTACTTTCAGTGTTCTTACAAAAACATTGTATATCTAAGCATTTGTTTCTATCACAAGGCGCAGTATAAAATTAATATAATTTAAAATAAATGTGGTTGTTGATCTCGGCTTGGAAACCTCCCCCCTTAAAAATAGTTGTACTTAATTATAATTATTGTATCGGATCCATGGCGAGTTTTAAGCCCGATGTTTACAGCGTATAGATGAACTCCCCATGAACTTTTTAGTTCTTCGGTAATCTGTCAGTATTGCCCATTTTTTCCAGTCTCATGCACCAACTTCTATCATTTCAGCCTTACGATCACTGTGACGTTCCCCGATAACATGTCCGACAAAGTGTTGATGAAGGTGGATATAACCAGTGAGGGCGAGACCGGAGCCTGCAACGACACGACGTTTTGGCAAAACAAGACAGATGACGACTGGATCCTGTGTTCAGAAAAAGACAAGTCGAAAACTTGTGAAGATCTCTGCGGCATTGGGACTGGTAGGGGCATCGCCGTTACTGAGGGCGAGTAAGTGTTAACTTACGTCCGTCCTACAGCCAGACCTCTATTTAAAGAAGCTCGGAAAGTGTATTTCGTACCAGAATACAATAACATCCTTATACATTCTTTGCGACATGCATTTATAGGCATTTAATCCGTCTTGCTCAATAGTTCCCACGTTCGATTCTAACAATCATCATACTATCCGCAAGTGTTTTTAATAGGGCTACATCTTGTTAGAAGTTAGCAAACATTTGACACGCTCGAGATTTCTTATACAGTTTAAACATCAAATGTCAAAATTTGTTAGTGTATTGACTGATCCGTTAGTTCATTACTTTGCCAATCACAAACAATTTTATAACCAGCCAAATTTAATAAACATCGATTCTTTGGCGTTCACACATAAGCTCCCGAATTTAGTTTCCTGGTTTGATCTTTGTCAACGCGCATCATCCAGATGCAAATCAAAGTACAGAGTGCCCTACGGCTATTATTCTAGACCTATAGAATTGATTATTATAGTTAAGATGTGAAATTTTAATATTATGGTTCATTGAAACTATTTATAATTCCAGTAATTTAAGTTATCGATTATACATTTTCAGAAGACCTCAAGAAGGAAGCAGAGGCTGTGTGTGGAGAACGGGTGTAACAAATTTACATCACGATCACTTGAACAAGGACTATGCTACATGCACTGCAGACAACAATACGTGTCCAGATTTCTTGTGCGACCCTCTAGAGGAACTTCACTATCACATCTGTCCACAGGACTGCACTGGTAAGTTCTGTCCAGATCAGGGGCAAATTGTTCTGCACGGATACGACTGTTTACGATCGTGAATGGGGGACAGAACTTTGGTGAATCTGTGTCGGGGTACGGATGTTGGAAACTGCTACAGACAAAGATAACGTAACCGCGATAATATAATAAAAATACACAGAAAACCATAAATAGGCAAGTTTCAGAATCTTAATATATTTCTCTCGTCGACGTAATCAATTTATTCATAACTTTGGCCTTTAACTTTGACCACTTGAATGTTTTCGGTCACACAGTTTCCGAGCCTTCCCATTCTAGACTTTGATAGTTTGTTTCCAAGTCATACTGGAAGACCAAAGTCTCTTGACCAATCATTATACTCTTCCCAAGGTCGTGTTCCACCAGCAGTTTTGCTGGAAGTTCTCAAACACATTTATTTTTTCTTCAACAATAAAATAAACTGAATCTCAATTACTGTTTCACACAAAATTGCCGACTTATTTGTAAGGGAGCACTGCTGCAATTAGTCCCGGTCAGTTTCAAACTTCGGTTAATTATCGGTCAGATAACTACAGTGATTACATATGGTACAAAAGCAATAAGTTTCGAATTTTAATATTTTTGGACATGGTACTACTGAATGATCACGGATTCAACTTAAAGTTAAAAGTGTCTGGTATTTCAGAGTGTATGTACATGACGCTAAATTCTTTCCAGACATGGTGACTGGAGCTGCTCTGTCGAACAACGGGGCAAACGACAACCGCGGTATAGCCAGCGCGGGTACGAAGTCTGTCTGTACCTGTGACCCCCATAACAAGTGCGCTTGTGCCCCTCTTGTTTCCGGAGGCAAAAATAAGAGGAGACGCCTCAACCCACCGACCACACTGCCGGCATACAGCAACACCACCACGGACACCTTATTCGCCCCGCCCACGAGAGATCCCTACGTGAGCACAGAGAAAGGTAAGGTCGCTCACATGAGGATGTTGATCGAGATTTTAGTTGACTTGCGCTGAATGAGATGGGAAGGGGGACATGGGTTGTGAGTAACGAGTTACGAAATGCACGCATGGCGTAACACTTTCACACGTTCGCCAGAAATCGCGATCAAGGCCAGTAACGTCGGAGCTGTCTGAGGATCAATGACCTTTCCGTTAGAACGTTGGCTCACGATCCGCTGGTTGGGTGATGACGTCATCGTGGGGGATTCCCCCAGTGGCGGCTATTTCCCACACGGGGACTGCTGAGGTTACGATGGTAACCATGGGAAATATTGTAATTATGGTAATCAGGGTAGCCTGGATTTTCCCCAAGTCACTTCCGGGTGATGGAAAGCATATTGGTCATTATGTAAAGTGCCCGGTATTGCTGTTCGATACGAACTAAAACTGGAATGTTTCAACAAATTTTAGTAAACTTGTCAATGCCAAATTTCATAAAAATCTGTTCAGCTGTTTTTGTGTTATTACACGGACGGACTGAAAGACATGGCTAAACTAAAGCACTTGTGCAACTTTTACCTGCGAAAGCGCCTTAAAAAGTTATGAAAAAGAAATGAGTCGTTGCCTATTTCATAACGAAACACGATATTCTTATGAAAAAATGAGGCAATAATAAAATACCTCGGCAAGTTTAACTGGTAACCTCGCTGCAGCAGTCAAGTATAACTTTTATGAAATCCTTTGTCCCTCCGATAAGAAGAGAAGCATCTGTTTGTTTCGACGTAACACACCACCTCTACCGCTACCTCTGCTGACATCCTCATACACCTGCTCTCCCTCCAGTGGTAGCAGGGTTCAATTCAACAATTTAAAACATCTCGCAAACATGTTACTTCTTCTTCGTTTGCTCACTTCCAAACGATCTTTTCTGTTCCATTTGAACGTTCTGTTTGTAATGACTTTCTTCGGAGTAATCTACTTGTAAACTGATTTCTATACATTATTTCGTCGATTTCCCTGAGCTTGTTTTAAATAAAAAATACTCGTACAATATTTAATATCTAAAAGCAAGGCCGTACTTAGGGCAGGATGGCCGCCCTGGGAGCCTCGCTTCTTGGAAAGGAGGCGGGGAAACCTCATCTACAACACGATGCATGAAATACTAAAGTATACAATAGGGCAGAGTTCGTAATTTTTAAAGACATACTAATTGACCACAGTTTATTCAAATGTATTTATAGTAATGTAAATTAAAATCCAAGTGTACGTCATCAACGTAGGCCAGAAGCTTGTGTGTCCCATTCAGCATTAACTAGTTGACCTTTGTGGTGATATTATAGTTTTAAACCTTCATTGAGGTACTGATTAAAACAAAATATTATCGAGACTAGCTTCGGCTTCAAAGGGTCAAAGAGATTCTTTGATAAACAAGTCTTACATATATGTATTAGTTAGCAACTAGAAATTTACAATTTTGGTACGTTAAATAGCATTTGTAAGATTTGAGGTTTTCACAGCGGTGAGTATGAAGATTTCTGTCTTCTGGGTTGTTGCGTCTGTGTAGTCTGGTCGATGTTTACTAACGTTTCTGAGGTCATACTGCCTCCGTCGTCAGGGCGATTACATTTCTCCAAGTCTAAACTTCGACGACATATTTAATCACTGCCAGACTTACCTCTGTACGCTGTGTCACGTGCGTCAGTATGCCTGGTGTATCGTCTGTTCATCGTTAACATCCACTGCTAACATAATACACTTGGACAGTATTTTAATTAATAATCTAGTTACATTCCAATACACACCACAAATTCACTTGATTATGTTCACGAGCAAATAGCACAAAATCCGGTCTCTAAACAAAATGTACGTTCCACTAACGACACTATAATCCGCTGGTATGGCTGGCGTTGGTGTAGCAAAGCAGAATACGAGTCAACAGAATTACTATGTTCGTTCCTTGTTAAAGTCCTGTATCTCACAATACTTCTGTATTTCAAAATAACTTGTAAAATTGTAAGGCCTTTTTTAATTATTTTTTGTACATTTATACTCATTAACGTGGTCTTTGCGTAATAAATATATCATTTTCACCCCTCAAATACGATTACGATGGAATTGACTGTGTCAGTACCGACGTAACTGGAAGAAACTTCCCTAATCATACCGCATGAGTAGGTGAGAGACGCTAGCGCACTTTCTCATAAAGCGTCAGATGTATGAAACTGTGAAGTACCAACTGAAACCGAAAAACACACCAGATCAGTAATTTTTAGGAGTGCCATTTCAACAAAATAAATACGGAATGCAGGATGACACATAATAAAAAACTCTTTCTAAACAACTACTTTCAATACGATAACAACGTTCATCTTAGTATTTCATATTCTGTAGCGAATATGTGTTGGACCAAACTCAAATAAAGATAAGACCATTTGTGTACAATACAAGTACCTTAATATTGTTTATAACTTATATCAGTAACATATCGTAAAAGACGATTAAATGAATTTCTTGTGTGTGGGGGGATATGGGTCTGAAACTCGGTTTGAAGAGTTCGACAAGATGTGTTAAGGAGAATTTTCTGATCCAGGAGGATGTAGCTATCTGCATATTAAGAAGCTTCACAGCTTGTAATTTTCGACAATTATTAGATCTATTGTAGCGATTCACTGACGGAGGATAAATACAACATCGAATTAAACTCTGAAGCTGATCTGTTCCATGTAAGGAATTTAAAACACAAAATCCTCATCTTCTATAAAATGTTCATCGGGGCCAAAATTAACGTAAGCTCTTCAAAAGAGAATTTCTTTTTTCAGATGCTCTTCCCAAGTATCGGAAAAAGAACACGACTCGCGAATCGATCCTCAGACAATTTTCAGATGCAAGTACACAGACACATGATACAGTGGCTTTTGAAAGAAATCGCAAGGACAAACCCCAGGCTCCAATTTCAAGTAAGCAGGAACTCCCTTTATGTACAGCCACAACCACCCCTTAGTGTCCAGATCACACAGCCTGTCAAATGCATCAACATCTTTCAAAATGCAAGGAAAAGCGAACGGACTGAGTAGCGAGCCTGTCTGGTGAACCAAAATAAATTCATCCTGTACGGGTTCATAAAAGCTGATTACTATTCATCACTCTTGCAATTTTTCCAGTTTCTCACAACTCTGTAAGATGTTTAGTAGGGTTCCCCCAACGGGGGATCAGTCTGTTGCAAATCCCCTGTCCCTACAACACAGCACAACGGAAGAACACGTGTGACTGTTGAACATGACAGCGTGAGATTCTAACCTACCAACATACTGTTCGAACAGTCAGGGTCCTTCTTTATCGACTGCGCTGTCACTGTGATCGGCATCAACATTATTCATGGTACTGAATAGGGCACGAAATGGACCAACCCTGAAAGACTTTCCAGCTTGCCGTGGGACATGAGACCTCTTAAAATTAATTGATCTTTCATTCCTGTGCCAATACTAATACGACAATTTCCGAGCATTAACATTCAGCCTACTTCACGTCATTTGTTCTGACTTCAGTGTTACAATCCACAGAGTATCTGAGCATGTGCTCAAGGCTTGTGATGCAACCTGCGTGATATTCGCGGCACAGAGTTGAATCACAGTGCATCATACCAGCCTTATTTCTGTTCACTCACTGCTATGCAGGTACAATGGCCTCCATAACATTCTTCAGGAAACATTCCAGAATGTTAACAGACCTTCGAAAATTTCATATAATTTACTTCACAGCTCGCAAAAATACTCTAGTTCCTGTGTCCCCCCCCCCCCCCCCACCTTCTTTGTGGCATGTTACTGTAGACCCCTATTTTCCCGTTTATTCTTTCCACTTAGATTTTTTAGATTATGTTATCACTGCTTGTCACCTCCCATGACATGTTGACTTGCATCAGTAAAGTGTATAGCTGTGTTACCAAAGTTTCTCGCACAATTTTACTAATTTTTTGGCCTCGATCCGCAATTGCACGGGCATCTAGATATTCCCTACATCTGGCGTTCGTATGATTCTTATAAAGCAAATTAGTTCGCATTATAACACCAAAGGGGTGGTATTTCCTTCGTTGCAGCCACAAACGAGGGGTCGTGTGGGGCAGCGTGTCTCATTGGAGTCGTCATAGGG